GAAGACAAAGTTGACATAACTGGATGAAACTACATCATTTCTTCTTCTTCTACATACAATTTGCCAAGCACCTGAGACACTATTCTCTCCATTGTGAAACAAAGCTTCTAAAAAAACAACAGAAACCCCACCTGGTATGAATAAATGTCCATTTATTACGTTAGGGCTGGAAAAAGACAAGGAAAACCCAACCTATTAAAGTCTTCCATCATAATAAACGAGACTTATTTGGTTACTGTGCCTTCTAACAATGACTGATGAAGTGGCACTGGTCTGGGTGACAGGAGAGGTACAGGAGGGGAGGGAGCTGCGGTCTGATTCAGCCAGCCACTTTGGAGTGTCCCATCCTATCAGCTGAGTGATAGATGCACAGCTTTAAACCTAATACAAAAATATTAACACTTTTGGACATTAGTCATCACTGTTATATCTCTACAATATAATCCTTTATACTGTACAGCTATAACATAAAAGGTGCAATTCCTTTTTCTTTAAAAAAATCACACACAGCACATGTTTTTATGATTTTATTTTTAAGTATAAACTTTTTTAAACACTTTACATAAATTAACTCCTCTGAGACTAATATTTGATGTACAGTAAATTGTAATTCATATAAAAATCCATAAACAACTTGTCTCACATAATTTACAAAAAAATCAGGGTTTCCTTTGCTTATCTGCAACAAGGATTCTACTTGCCATTTCCCCCCCAAGGCAAACCATGTTAGCATTGTAAAATCCATTATTAAATTCCCATGGTAGCATTGTCACTTGTGCCAATGTCCTTTTAGAAAGCAGCACAGTTTAAAGCAGTTGGGTTGTCTATAAACTGTAATTTTTGCCCCACGTTTTAAAATTAACAGATACATACCACATCCTATGCAGTGAGAAAGAGAGAGAAAAGGAGAGAGAGAAAGAGAGAGACTACTTTTCGTAAGCAAAGGTCAACAATTCAGTAATATTTGGAAACACTGTATGGGTCTGTATCTTAATTAAATACAGTGCCTCAAAGGAACAGACAGCCTGTTGCAAAATCTGTAGGCCTTTTTCCTTTTCTTTTTTTTTTTTAATACTTTTCAGTCCAACTTGAGTGCAGCGATATGCATATGTAAACATACTCTTTAAAGCAGATCACCTTTAAGGTCATTGAGAAAAAAAAAAGTTTTGTCATTAGCAGTATCATTCTTCAGGAAGGCGCTCTTTTCATTACAGAGTCTGTTCGGATTGTGCTACAGAAAAAATCTGAGCAAAGATGTAAGCTTAGGCTCAAGTAGTAATGCAGCAAAACAGTTTGGTCTCCTTTTTAGAAGACACTGGTACACAGTCTCTTTGGCAGCCTGAGCTAAGCCAGTGTGTTACCTCTTTCCTATCTCACTTTGTCTGAGGAACTGTATATTATTAGCGCTGTCTGCTAATTCTGGATATTGCTCCACAGAGAGTACATAGTACCCATCGTATCCTTGTACCTTTCCAGCACTTAGCAACTGCCTCTTTTCTCCTTCTGTCCACAACCTGGCGCCTTCCTCTCCATCCCTTACTCTCTGTTGTTCTCTGGCCCAGGCACTGGAAAGAGCTCTTTGCCTGGCTTGCTCCAGTATTCGGGCCTTTTCCTCATCAAGTGTCATGCCATAGCGGACGTGAAGCGCTAAAGCACCGTACTGCATTTCAACATCAGCAAACCTACGAGTCCTGCCATTTACCACAGTGGTGGACTGGGAAACAGTGACGTTGATGCCATTCTCCAGGGCCTTCCGCCCACTTGTCAGCCTCAGTGTCCCAAGGTCACTCTCAGGGGAGGTGGTCTTGATAAAATAGTGCGTGTCCTTTCCCTCAATAGTGAAATGCAAGTTTTCTAGGTAGTAGGCATTGTTCAGAACTGCTGCCACTTTTATGCAGTCCTCATTCGCAATGTTGAGCACATTTGTTTGTACTTTGCCTTGATTGACAGCGAGCATCACCCCCTTCCCAATCAGAGACTTCACCGTAGCAAACCACAGCCATGACTTCTCTCCACTGGATTTCCGTCTGCTGACCTGCACTTCTGCCATCTTTCCCAGGGAAAGGAAAGCCTTTGCTTGTCTCACCACTTGTTGTTGCACTCCAGAAATTGGCTGTAAACAAGAACAGACAGAAGTTTTACCAGCCATCTGTAGCCCTCTAGATGCCAAACAGCCAGGCTTTCTTGGTGTGCTGCCCATGGACGACAACAGGATATGCCACAACTGACAGTGCCAAGGAGTTAATTAAATCTACATACTGCTTGTTCTGCTGAGTTACAAGACTATTTTGTTTGATAACGTTCAGTGTTTTTTCTCTTTGTCTCCTTGAGAACCTGCACAAAACCAAGATTTAACTTCTGAGGCTACTTACTGGGCTGCACAGGACAGACCTTTGCAATACTAATACTTAACATGGTGACAGCAGTCTTATTACGGCATCATCTCATCCTCTGAGCTTGTTCAGCTGTGATTCCTGTCTACCATAAGTCCATCCAAATTCAGGAGATTTTTGCAGGTTACACAGCTGTGCTCTAGAATTGGAACAAGCCCTTCTTTACGCTAAGTCAGGAGATAGAGACTCTCAGGTAGCTGCAATCTGAGACCAAATTGCAGGGAGGCTCTCATAACCCCTCAAGCTGCTAAAGGAAGCAAGGGAATCGAACTGTAACGATAGTCTCTCTTTAGAGTAAAAAGAGAAGAAAGCAAATGGTACAGTGAGATGGAATACTGGGGACGGATACCCCTTCTTGCAAATACTTGCAGAAACTGATAAAAAGAGCTGTGGGAAAAGGGTGTGGCCAACTCAGCTGCAAGAGCTTCCATTTCACTCCAAGTACCAGCATGCTGCCTAAAAGACATGAGCAGCTTCTCCCCACAAAACTTCAGACAGGTGCAATCCTGAATACAGCAGAGTGCTTTGCTGACAACTACCAAAGACAAGGGGCAATGAATGAACCAACGGGCAAGTCTAAAATACGCTTGCTTGGTATTCCATATTTTAATGTATCTGGGGTGTTCTTGTGAAAAGTTGTGTGTAAAAAGGGAGGGAAATAAGAGATGTAATTGTGAGGTGGAAGAGCATAAGATGGAAAAGCTAGGATAGGAGAAGCTGTTAAAGAAGTTTACTTTGACTGTTAAGAGCTATACGTAGCCCAGTATGCCAGATGCACTCTTGGTAAAGAGAGAGGGTAGCTGCAGAATGGGACCTGCCAGCATAACTACTGTGCTTAGCCAGAACAGCTAGAAGAGCAGGAGCAGCTAGCAGGAATGGTTAGCTTAGCAGGGCAGCAACTGTGGTTGAGATGAGACCTTACAACTGTGCAGAATAGGCACATCTTAGCTGTCTAACCCTGGGTCTTAAGCTACAAGCTGTGAATGAGCTAGTATTGATGGAGGTGGGGAGCAGACAGCTGCCCTAGCTGTTGTCTCAGTAGGAAATAGAGAAAAGATTTAGATAGGTTTGGCCACGTTTTTGAAAAGGTGTACTTAATTTCTGTAGATGATCCAGTTTATCTTTCAACTGACCCCTTCTCCCTTCAGTAAAATACTGCTTAACCCATGTGTTTCACTGCTGAAAAATGAGGCAAAAACCTGTTTAGTTTTCCCAAATTTCTGGGTGGGAGACCAAGCAGGAGACATTAATAGACTCCTACATCCTTAATTTAGCCTTGCTTCTAATCAAAGCCAGCAAAGGGCTTGCAAAGGCTTCTCTGTTCTGCCACGAGGGCAGGTTTCTGGAGGGGACAGTTCCTCAGGGAATTATGAATTGACTTGGATTCTCAACTTTTCTTGAATGTGGCAGATTCCAGCCTGCACTTACTAACAAGTATGGATTTCAGCTGTTGTAAATCCTGTGTGAAAGCCATTGAGCACAAAATATATTCCAGACAGCACACTCATCAGTGAGATGCTATAGCAACTTCATAATGACAAAGTTTGTTTATTTTTTAATATGTAACCTCAGAGCTCTGAAGCAAAACCTCAGAGCTGGATAAAGCTCACTCCAGAATGTTTCAAAATACTAAGTGGTTTGTGTGTTTACTTCTGGCTCCTGGTTGCATTTGCTTGTTCAACAGTGAATATCATAGTCACAGCTTCTTCCTACCTCAGAATTTTGATTGTTTTCCTCCCACTTCTTTCTCTCTCTGTCACGTCACATGCCCCTGGCACTCCTCA